CTAGGGCTTGATATGCGACACTTCAATCTTTCAGCACATATTCAACACCATCATTTCGTGGCCGGAAGGCTGACTTTTGTCGCGCTTTCAACGTGCTAACGTAGTATTTTATTTGCCCGGGCCCGTGCACCGTGACTAAATGCCCGCGTGCATGCACCCTTTTCTGAATATCTTGCCATTGGGGGAGTTTCCTTCGTACAGGGTAGGGCATATGTAATTAGCGGCACTATAAATGGGAATCTCCATGATGGGAATCACCATAATGTATTTCTAGCCCTGCTGCCAGAGTGTATACCCGCTCCAGCAACGTCGAGCACGCTTGGCTCCCGCATCACCTTCTGCCATACCGGCCCCTTTATCGAATCTAAGTCTACCTGTTGGCCGCCACCACCCTTGCGAAAGAATCACTTCCTGCACAAAATCTCACCGTGCAACAGCCCAAACCAAGCATCCCCATCCTCCCTAAACTTATCCCATCCCTGCTGTACCTCCTCCAGCTCCTCTACAGTCGAGAAGCCCTCCTCCACCGCCATTGTCGCAAACCCCGATGACCTCGCCCGCTGTCCCATCGACCCGCCCCAATACTCGCGCTCATCGTCGCTGCTAAAGCACCACGACCCGGCGCTCCTGGAGATGTCGCCCTTGGCGAACCCTGATTGTTCCGCCCAGACGTGGATGTGGCTGCCGGGATGGGGATTGCCGCCCTTGGCGGCAGCCATCTTGGCCGTGACTCTGTACCACTTGTCGAGCGTGCTCGACTCAGGATACCAGGTCATAGAGGCGGATTCTCGGCAGGCAACCAGTCCGCCGGGTTTGGTCACGCGACGCATCTCCTTTAGTGCTTTAATAGGGTCAGCAATATGCTGGAGGACCTGATGGGCGTGGACGACATCAAATGCATCATCGTTGAACGGGAGAGAGTGGATGTCGCCGACATCGAATGAGACATTGTTGACTCCCTGCGATGCGGCGAGGGCACGGGCTCCGTCAAGCGGATCTGGCACGTATTCAATTCCGGCAACGTGGCCCTGCGGGACGAGGCGGGCGAGGTCGATGGTGATGGAGCCTGGGCCACACCCGACGTCGAGGATCTTCATATCCGGGCGAAGGTGAGGGATGAGGTAGTTGGCCGAGTTGGCCACGGTGCGCCAGCTGTGTGTGCGCAGGACGGACGAGGAGTGGTCCGTCGAGTAAACTGACCGATTCAATGCCATTCTGTTTAGTGCTTTAACTTCGTCCCATGTGTCTGAAGAGTGGGTGGTATGTGAGGACAGGGCTGATTTAAATAAACCTCGCCGGACAACCCCACCCGGAGTTCCGACGCGGTGCTGCGATCAGGTGGAGCAGGGTCGGGACGGCCGACATGGTTCTAGGGACAATCAATATCCGTGAAGGTGCACGCAGACTGCAAACAGCATCATGCCAAACTCGTCGGCACCTTGCACCCACCGGTCGATCCTCTGTCGACGGCCGGTTGATCCGTATCCGGCGATCGCCACAGCTCGGAGATCTTTAGCGGCCCATCCGGCCATAGCGACAGATGCCGTGCGTACTCACGCTCCCATTCCTGCCTACTCCTTGCCTCCCAGACTCGCTTCGAATCAGGCGCGTACACTTCCTGTAGTTCCTCTGCGAGGAAGTTGGGAAAGTTGCTATCGGCATTGTACACGCTGCTGAGGAGGTAAAACGTAAACATGGCCCTCCGCTTGACCGAAGCGACGATCCACGACTCCCATGAGGGGCGGGTGCCGTTTAGTTCGGAGTGCAAGACGAGGCCCCCTGAGCGGTCCGGAAAGCCATCTCTTCAAGTGTGACCATGGTGGCGTTATTGACAAGGGGACTACTTGAGATGGGAGAGAAGTACGCCATGATGGAGTAGGCGAGGTATGCCTGGAAAGCGATCAAAGTATCAACGTTTCCGGCATTCGGGTCCTGAATTATCAGTGACTGTGACATTGTGGGATAACATGGACTCACATGCTGCGCCAGCCTGTCCATCTCCCGCCCAACCGTCTCCGCGACGATACCCTCGCTTCCATCTGCGCGATGATGCCACAAGCGGACCAAGCTGTAGCAGTTTGCTAGGGCTGTCGGGGTGCCGTCCGACAGTTGCATGGGATGAATCATTGGGGGGACGTCGTCTCCGGCCATCTGCTTGGGGTACGTTCGCAGTACGCAGCTCATGTACTGCAGCGTGTATGGGTGAAACGCTTTGGGCACTCGATCCCCGACATCGAGAAATGGCCGCAACCACCGGTCGCGAACTTGATCTGCATCAGCAAGCGGTACAAGGTCCAGGTGTGAGAAGTTCAACGAGATCAGATGGCAAGTCTGGGGTGTTACGTCCTGCGTCGGGGCCGGAGTTTGACGTGTCACACACGGTTCCACATAGTCTGCTTCTGCCGGACCCGTAAAGATCGGCGACAGAGATGCGGATGTTGCGTTGCTCGTCGGCGCGACGACATGTCGAGGCGCGGCCGGTGATGAAGGACCATCGGCCGTTGCGTATCGGCAGGGGCGATTCGATGCAACGCATCGCGCGCACGACGGACGTTCAAGGTCGCAACGGACCTTGGACCTTGCACACGGCAGACACGACTTTTTGCGCGACGGAGTAGGCCTCTGTGTCCGTGTCGGGGCCATCGTGTTGAGAATGGTTGAAATTCCGATTGATGGCGGGGTTAAGTTGCCACCTCTTCGGAATTCCGGGTACAAAATGTCGTTGTGATCCACATTGTCACGGGACTCCGACTCATACGGTAGACCGAGAAAGCTTTGTCAAATTAAGTGGTTCGGAACTCCTCCGTAAGGTCGTAAGCCCGTTCGCGCTATGCGAATATTCGAGTATTTAAACACGTTTTCACCACAGCTGAGATGTGTTACATTACCGGACAATCTCATTTATCGACTTGCAAAAATGGACATTCTACTCAGTGAGAGCCTGTTTGGTCGCACCGCCAACTACCTCACCAAAGACAAGGCTTTTCCTCATCATCGTGATTTAACCAATAAAGAGTCTTCCATCGAGCTTCAGGACTCGACAGGCCAGCATGCTGGAGACCTCGACCGGCCTAGAAATTGGCCGACCCTAGTGAAGTCTTTTGTCATGGCAGACGTGATGCTCCTCAACTTTAGCTTCTACGCAGCGTCGGCCATCTTCACGCCGAGTATTCCGCTGATCGAGGAGAAACTCGGCGCGAACGCAAGCCAGGGCACGCTGGGACTGTCCCTGTTTGTTATTGCATATGGCATCGGCCCCCTCATTGTATGTGTCCCCAATCATACCAGGAGTCCGAGCTAACTAGACGTTGCAGCTGTCGCCCCTCTCCAACCTACCGTCCATAGGACGCTCGCCCGTCTACGTTCTCGGATCACTAGCATTCTGCCTTATCAACATTGGGACAGCCCTGGCCAAGAATGTTTCTACAATATTAGCGCTCCGCTTCGTCGGTGGTTTCGTCGGCAGTGCCCCCATAAGCGTCGGCGGCGCCACATTGATGGAGATATATGGCCCGCCCGAGGTCCCGTATGCCATTGCATTTTACGCCGTCAGTGGTGTTTGTGGGCCGATTCTAGGCCCAGTAAGTCCTCTCTCATATCCACCATCTTGCTTCACACTGACTTCCATAGATCTTTGGAACCTTGGCTGTGTATGTGACAAGCACCAAGGTTGTCTCGGGACTCGCGCTGACTTGGTCTAGTACCCGCTGGAAAACATGGACGGCGACGCTCTGGCTTCTTGCTGGCATCACCGGGTTTACGACCATCTTCATCTTCTTCTTCCTGCCCGAAACACTCATGGCCAATATTCAGCACCGCCGAGCATGTCGCCTGCAGCAGGAAAATACGCAGGGCAAACATCATTCATTGCGAAGCTTTTTCCTCGGTGTCGCACGCCAGACAGTCGACGACTTTAAGCTCTCCTGCATGGATCCCGTCATCTTGTTTGTCAACATACACACGATGCTCATTTATGGCATTTTGTATCTGTGGTTTGAGCTCTTTCCGTTTGGTGAGCCTACGGTTAAATCATATTACCGGTAACTGTGACCGTGATGCTGACAACGGTGTAGTTTTCGGAGGCATATACCGCTTCGATGCGACACAACAGGCGCGTAAGTAATGTTTCGGTTTCTAAACGCAACTACTGGTTTTCTAACGTGACAGTTACTTTCTTTGGCATCCTCGTCGGCGCCGTACTCTCGGTCTCAGCATACCTTCTCTGGCTCTACTTCGTCTACCAACCCCGAGTCGCCGACCCTGAGACCATTGTACAGCCTGAAGACCGCCTCCGGCCCGGCCAAGTCGGTGCCGTCTGCATCCCCATCTGCCTCTTCGTCTTTGCATGGACATCTCGCGAAAGGTACGCACCCAATACTTCTTCCAAGGACTACGGAGAAGAATGCTGAAAATAACGTTATAGCATCCACTGGATCGTCCCCATTATCGGTTCTGGCTTCTTCGCCCCCGGCTTCTATCTCACCTTCCAGTCCATCCTCAACTACCTCGGCGAGTCGTACCCACAGCACGTTGCTGGTGTCTTTGCAGGCAACACCTTCTTTCGGAGCTCGTTTGGTGGCGCGCTGCCTCTGGCTGCGCCGCGCATGCTGCAGAATCTGGGCATCGGATGGGCGTCGAGCACACTGGGATTCATATCCCTCATGCTGGTGCCACTGCCGTTTATTTTGGAGCGTGTAAGTGGCACGATTCGCAAACTGGAGTAGGACTAACCCTTGATAGTATGGGAAGAGGCTGCGATCATGGAGCAGATATGCGAACTAATATGGGCACAAGATGACGACGCCAATTGACATGTCCAAATTGCGACACTTTTCCCCCGTCAATGGGCGTCTTGTTGCAGCACACTGAGAGCGTCGCTAGCGGTGAGCATTTGGGGAGAAACAGGACTGATCTGATGGCTATTCCACGCGCAACAGGGCCTCGAGATCGTCTTCAGCCTGTGTGGCGATGATGCCTCACATTCTCTGCCTTCCCGAGAAGTAGCAGACGATAATAAATACCTAAAATGCAATGTTCTTAGCACCGAGACAAAATGTAAATAGAAATTGTATAAGTAGTATAGAGATAAACGACAACCAAATTTAGACTAGAATGGGACTAGTCTTGATAATGTCCCACTAGCAGTCTAGCTTCCTTACCCCGTACTCGGGTAGGGTCTAGAGACCGACCCCCCGTGCTTTCCTTTCCACCGTAGGTGCCCGTGCGTCAAGCACGGGGGGTAGGCTGACTAGGGAAAGGGGCGGGTGACTGGGGAATAAATTAGATACCTCATTTTTGTATGTAGCCCCACCAAAAAAATAAGTCACTCCTTTAGTTGAATTGTCCCTCTTTACTGCACTGATGATGCCCGCGATATGTCATTACCCCTCACAAACATCGCAACGAAATCACCACTCAACGTCCTCAACACCAACAAGGTAATTACTTTATTCAGTCATGATAATTGCAATTTCTATTCAATTGAGACGATGGATACATCAATCAAAAGCCCTGAACCGGCTCTTACTGCAGTACAAAAATATATCAATTCTGACACCGGAAACCCTAATGTCTTGCGATATACAGCTCATAACCTTGAGACGCGTACTGTCGCGGCTGTCGAGCTTCTAAGGGAAGGATATTACTCCTCAGCTGTTAAAGCTGCTAAGGCATGGAGGGTACCATATAAAAGGTTGCTTTCTCGACAAAAAGGAAAACATCCTGTCTCTCAAAATGGCGGCAACTTCACGCTTTTTTCGCCGGAAGAAGAGAAGGCGATCCTCGCTTGGTGCTGGCGCCGCGTCACTCAGGGACATCATATACAGATGCGTACTCTTCGACAGTATGCTAATTCAATTCTAAAAGCAACTGACCGACTTCCAACGGCTTCTAGATACTGGGCAAGACGTTTTCTAAGAAGATATTCCTCTATTCTTCATAGAAAGAAGAGTTCAACCATCGCAGTGCAAAGAAAGGCGATGGCAGACCGAGCCAACGTCGAAGAGTGGTTTCGCAAGTGGCATGATTACGCGGAAAAAGGCATAGATTACGAGGATGTGTGGAACATCGATGAGACAGGCTTCCAGATCGGTTATCTTAAAAATGGGATGTTCCTGTGGACTTTTGGGGAAATCGACAAGCCTATCTTGACTGATGCACACGAGACAATAAGCGTCACGATCATTGAGTCTATATCAGCAAAAGGACGGGTTATTCCATCGTTTATCATCATGCCGGGCGTACAGCTGCCGTCTCGGTGGGTTGACAACCGCCTTGAACCGGGCACAACGATCGTTACAACACCAAACGGCTATATCGATGATATCTCCGCGCTAGAATTCTTCGACCACTTTGAACGGCTTTCCCGGACTTCTTTGAGTCCGGGAAAAAGAACACTATTACTAGACGGTTGTGAGAATCATTTTACCAAAGAGCTTTTCCAAAAAGCCCAAGATGCAGGCGTGGTGTTGTTCCCTTTCCCGCCTCACTTGACACATATCCTTCAACCGCTAGATGTAGGGCTATTCTGTGTATACAAGCATTGGCATCAGGAAATCCTTCTTCGTGAGATTGCAGATGGCGCTACAGACTTCAATAAAGCTGACTTTTTGTTCCATTTACAGGAGGTACGCGCCCGTACTACTAAGAGAAGCACTATCATCTCATCTTGGCAAAAGACCGGCATCTATCCCTTCGATCCTGAGGTTGTACTAGCCCGTATGATAAATCCCTTATCATCACTATCTTTGGAGGTAGCTGAAGAGTCGTTACCCGGCTATATCTCACGAGGGTCCTCTTCCACCCACAGCAGCGATAGCAACTCCGAAATGAGTGAGGAAGACGGCGTTACGCCGCCTCATGAGATACACCATTCGAATCGTCACGACCAGGAGATTCGATTGATGTCAACGCCACCCCCGTGCGTCAACTGGATCGAAATGAACACGCCGGAGCTCAAGTTACGGCAGATCCGTCAGTACGAGGAATATGTGGCCCTCAGGATCGAATGCTCAATAACCTCGGGCACGCCTCTGACTCCCTCAGTGTCACATGTCAATGAGAAGCTGCAGAAAGCACATACAACTCTCGCAGTCAATGGGATTACTGCGACTCAGGAAATGCGCCGTCTCAAGGAGAAGAACCTTAGAAGGTCTGCCCGGGATCAGGGGACCACCATACTGGCAAATTACGGGCCAATTACTATATATGATGCCAGACTTCGCGTCGCAAAGGATCAGCACAACCGGCTGGCCGGTCAGGCGGCCGAGGAAGCTCGTATGCACACTAAAGAAGTTAGGGTTGAAGTCGGGTATTTACGACGATGGATTGCAGCGGTCAGGAAGATGCTCAGGGCTTCTTTAAAGGATCTACGGGTTGCTGATCTATACAGCAGCCAGCCGACTTATTCTCAGAAAAGGAAGCTATTCACAGCGGCCGAATTTTATATAAAAAAACAACACCAAGATTGTATACGGTCGACGGCGGTGATAGGGTCAAGATACCGGCTTCACCGCGAGCTTCTGGCTAAAAGCAAAGATTCCAAGGTGAAAGCGACTAATGCAAAGAAATCAGAAAGTCGGGAAGCCCCTAGAGTATTTATCTTTCACTGGAATCCCCAATTCCTTCTTCCATTTGACTATGACTTCAATATCGTGAAGGAGGCGTTGGAATTTATTGTCAGTGACGAGGAAAAACGCCGCTCTAATCGGAAGAAGATGTCGTTGGAAGCTGACGGCTTAGAAATCGTTGAAGATGATGAGGAAATGGATGAAGATGATGAATATGATGATGATAATGAAGAAATAGTCATTGGGGATACTATTGAAGTCAGTTAGGGCGAGTTCGTTATCCCAAAGGATGAAGAAAATACCGAATAGTCGTGATGGTTGCTTGGTGTTTTGGCAATATGCATTTTTGGTGGGGGTTGCAAATGGAGGGGTTGGTCCGGTCACAATCATGTAGTTATCCGTGGCAAAGGAAGTACATCTAATTTGGTGGGGCGCACATATAAAAATGAGGTAGCTTAATTTCCCTAGTCAACCGACCCTTTTCCTAGTCACCGTACCCCCCGTGCCTGACCCTCAGGCTCCACGTGTGGAATGGGTTAGGCTAAGGGGGGCCGGTCTCAAGGCCCTACCCGAGTACCCTAAACAGTGATCTGCCACATTGATCCGTCAAGATGAAGCTCTGTCAGGTTGCAATGCCGACTGAACGGTCACCACCCCCACATCCAATGACATGTGGTGGCGAGAAGCACGTCTCGACGAACGTTAAGATGACTGTTTAGTCGTATAGTTTCCAATCCGCTTAAGCCTCTTAGCTGTACAGCCGATGCCAGGTGTATGTGTTGGCGCTCCCAACAGCTCTTCCATATGCATCGCATTCTGGCCCCAAGATCGACACAACGCACATGCTATTGCGACTTACAATAGTTTAGTCTTTCCCAAGAAACCGCTCCTCAAGATCGGAATGTCTACCCCCAGAACTTCTCTTGTCAAGGCATCCCTCACAAACACCAGCCGATCAAGAGACTCATTTCCGTAGTAGGTCCAGTCACCCGCTACCCAGTAGAGACAATCATTCATGCTGACACCCGCACCGGGCAGCTCTGTGGCCGTGTTGGTTACCAGATCCCAGTCAATGCGCCACTCCTCCCGCAGGACCTTCTTCTCGTATCCGTTATCTTGCTTGGTAGTGGAGTTCGTAATGATATCGAGCGGGTAGATTCGGGCCACGGTAGGTAGCATGTCGAGCGTTTCACCAATATTTCTGTAGAAGATCTCGCGGTACGACGCCATCATGTCCGTCCCGTTGTATTCGAGTCCCGCAAGGATCGTCGAATTCACGTCTTGGCTGATGGTGACGGTGATCGCCGCGTCTGACTTGCTCGGGTTGTCAACGAAGGTTCCCGTGTACGCTAATCCTTGATCTCGTGCGGCTTCGTCGATGGCCGGGACTAGTGTCTCGAGCACGGCGTTGTAGATAAAGTTGGCCGCTGTCGGAGGCCCAGCTGTGAGCAATACAATGGCGACTCCGTACTCATCAATGACGGCAACCTGGGACCTGTACCCTTGCGCAGCACCACCCTTGGCATAAAGGTCGATGGTATGGGGGTGCCTAGGTGTCAGAGTCTGCGTGCGATAGATCTCCCATGGCATGCCGACAAGTGCATAGGGAGACCCGGTGGAGGAACTAGGCTTGAGCCATGCGAGAACATCGGCCTCAGTGTCGAGGATGGAACGATCAAGGATGCCGTGGAAGAATACCGACAAGTCCGACAAGGTTGAGACAAGACCAGCGCCACTAGTTATCAACAAGCAACGTGAGAACTTGGATGCTGTAGGGCAAAGGAGACAGAGCGTATGAACTTACGCAGAATAGTAGCTGTAGGACTTGCCCCAGAAGTTCTCAACAGGAGGGATGACGGCCCTCGCGTCGCTGCCAGGACTTTCTAGTGTGCCGGACATTGCTAAGCGCTCCGTGACAAGCTCTTTTACGAGCTGGGTATAATTCTTGCCCGTGGCTTCCTGGATGGCGCGAATGAAGATGTGAAAAGAAATAGTGGAGTAGAATGGGCGGCTCGCCGGTTTCGCAACAGGATAAATGTCCAGCAAGGCTTCGAAAAGTTCTGTGAGCACATCAAGTTAGATATGAGCTCTCGCAGCTTGTGGTGGTCGTCAAGATGGGGGAAGGAATGTACGTTGTTCAGAACAGGGCTCGTTTAAACCAATGACACCGCACGGCTCATAGTCCTCATCCTCCAGCTGCGGAAAACCGAGAGACTCGTAGTATTCCTTGAGGGAGTAGAGCTCAAAGACCCCATCTATGCCACATCAATATCGAATATTTTGTTCGGATAGGCACAGGAGGAAGAAAAACGTACAGTATTGTGGTATGCCTGCGAGCCCACTGGCCAAGTGCCGCAATGTAATGGTGCCCCAATCAATCACACTCGAATTGTTCTTCAACACCGGGATGTACTTGGTGATAGGGTCATCGAGAGAGAGACCGCTCCTGAGCAAGATATAGTCCGAAATCACCTTGGATACCGAGCCTATGAGATACTGTGAGTCTCGGGTCACTTCCTTGGTCCCGTTCACGGTGTTCGGCGCTAGGTAATGGTACTCCCACACGGGAACCGCCTTGTCTGGCTGGTCCCAAGAGATGATACCGACCGAAAAGGACGTGTCATCGACTGGCCAACCCGCCTCAATCTCTCTAGAGGTGGCTAGTTGGAGGACTTTGTTAAGCTCAGACGAGGCAAGAGCAAAGGCGGGATGGGAGGCGATATCTGTAGGCCGCGGAACGATTGGTCCTGGAGGCCGGCAGTCGAAGGAGGCGAGCGCAAGGCCTGGCAATGTTGCTGCGATGAGGGTTTTTCGCAACATCATGGTATGACCAGGAATACTGTGCAGGCTTACTTTGCCAATGTTGGTGTTTTCGAGGTTAGATAAGTGCTTGCCGACAATGTCCAACGGGTGTCCTGTTACTGAAGCTCACGGGTGGGAGCTTTGTATAAATACTTACCCGGACTGTAAACTGTCTCTATTTAAGTCTAGCGAACAGTATTGCCCCCACACCTTGTCTCACTAGGGCCTATAAGCCACCTATTGACTACCGACGTCGCTGTAGCATATCATCTCGTTCTGGCTGTACTGGGTCAGGAACGCGATACGACAGGAGCAAGGCCTTCGAGTCCTCTCGTCCGATACGTGCAAGGCCCACCACCTGGTCGCCGTGTGGAGTGGTTCACGCGCGAGAAATATGGGCTCGTCAGGCGTCTACGTACTTGCTGGCTCACGTACAGATTGCAGCTAGGCCACATTGCGTTGCTAGCCTCACAAAAGCGCAGGGCGGGCTTAGCTTCGGTACTTTCGTAGCGTAGAGCGCCAGGATAATGAAGCCCGGTGCATGGGCTGTTGCCAGCGCTTTCGGTATTGGTGTGGCGAAGAATTCGTCATATCCGATTCCGATCGGATTCTCACTTTCGGTATTGGCGTGCGAAGTTATTCGTCATTTCCGATCGCATTCTTCCAGTTGCCAAGGCCGCCGTATTTCGCAATACCGGGGTCCCATTGAGGCTGTGTGGGCGGCAAGCTTACGGCTGAGGAGAGGCTATTATCTTAAAGGCAGCCGCCCCCTGTGGGGACCGCCAATGCCTTGGGGAACGGAACTGGAGTTGAGCAGAGGATAGGTTGGAGTTGAAATCTGGGTCTAAGCCCGCCGTCTCATTGTGCCATCGGGCTATGTGTTTTTGCAACTCTTCATGGATCGGATTAATAGAGCCAATTAATTTAACTCGCTGGTCATATCGCATTACTCCTATCGATTATTCCAAATGGGACAACATAGACACCGATTCGGAGCCAGAGCTTTCGTCCCAGCGGGCGTCGGCGGCGGAATCAGCTCCGCAGCCCGCGAATGCCGGTCACAGTTGCATACATCGGTTTCGACGGGACGCAGACCGATGCGTAGCATGTAGAGTTGCCATTGTTCGCTGCGTAGTTGAAAAGTGAAGGTTCCCGCTTTAGTCTGCTATCACAATACCTGGAGATCATCCGATGTTCTTTGCGGCAAGTGCCCCTTATCCCGGCGTTGATCGGAGTCCCTTTGGTTCAGCTCCGCGCGTTTGCCCACCTGTGCGTCTTCCCTCTCCTCCGTTTGCCTCATCTGCCACCCGATTTTGACGCCGACCAAGAACTTGATATCTACGATAGCCTCGCCTAATTCTTGCCTTGTTACTCCCCATCTAACCCGACTCTCTGATGCCATCTTCAATTCCGGCCGCTCTTCAAAACCGAATCTGACCGCCTGACACCCCTTTCGAAGACGAAGAAAACCACGATTTCACGAGCAATGTTTTGGCGTCATTTCCGTGGCTAGACACTCTCCGAATGAAGAAGAGTCACTCGCTCTTCGCTGGGCTTTCGGAGACGACATCCAAAAGGTGAATAACTGCAGGCGCTGGCGTAATAAACTCATCCCTTAATCCACTACATCCACTATATCCGTTCCACGACACTCTCGCTATCTTCCAGCCTTGTTGAAGCGTCAGTACGGCGCCGAAATACAGTTACTACCGTGGCTGTAAGCTGTGCGGTGGTACCATCGCGTCGCATTAATTCCGCCTCGCGCTCCTCTAACTTCGAGACCCTGCCATCCACCTAGTTATCGTCTGCTGTGTGACTCGGAATATTAGACCGTCCCCCTGCTGGATAAGCTGCTGGTTGAAGCCGGAGCCGCTCATTTATTTCGTGTATTCGAGCGTGGATTTCCGTCTCTTGCGTCTGGCATACAAGTCGATATCTGGGCAATGAACGCGCGGCGCCCATAAAGGTGCGGTCGGATAAGAGTGTGGGGCGCACAGGCAAAAAGCGCTGGTTTCGCCAGCCTGGCCGGCCCTTAGCGATAAGGAGACAGTAGAACGCCGTAGCCGAGCATCTCGGCCATCCCTCCCTCCCGCTAGCAGCTCGTGTCAGCGTCAATCAAGTTCATCAAGTCGCGCGCAAACCGCGCCGGCCACTCCGCGTACTGCCGCAGCTCCCGCGGCAGGTTCGCGTAAATGTTCCCAACCCAGACGCAGACCATGATGTTGCGGGAGTCGTAGTCGTGCAGCGTCGCCGTCACAGGCCGCCGCTTCTCGTCGCTCCCCTCGAGACGCCCGGCCATGATGCAGTCCAGCACCAGCATGTGCATGATGATAAGCCGCGAGACGTGGTTACCCGGGTTTACGAACGAGGCGTACTCGTTGGCCGTGAGGTGGCCAAGCTTCTCGTACAGGAAGGTGTGCTGCCGGTAGCCTGACGTTGTTAGCGGAGACCTCGAAGACCACGTGTGACCACGAGACATACTCTCGGCCAAGTCGTCGCCCACGGACGAGGCAATCCGCCGCATCAGAGCTAGGTACTCCACCTCGGCGACGCTCTGTAACAGCCGCCCCAACTGCTCGAGGCTCGCACAGAAGCCGTCCGCCAGACCCCGTTCGTGGAAGTGGTGCGCCTCCGGTGTCACGAGCTCGACGGCGCGCTCGACGTACCACTCGCGCTCAATCGTCTGAAACACCGAGGACCGAAACTCCTCCCCGATCATCGGTCCCACGAGGAAGCCTGCCATGTCAGCCTAGAACAATCAGGGACGGGACAAGACTTACACCCTCGCATCATGGTGAGAAAGTCGTACAGCCCATCGGGCATGTGCGCCGCCTGGTAGGTCAGCACCAGGATGGCCGCAAACGCGGCGACGGCATCGGACACCGAATGCTGCCCGCGCGCGAGGAACTCGTTGAGGCGCTTGATGGCGACGACGCGGTGCTGCAGCGCGTCCTGGACGTATCTTGTCGGCCCCAGCACGCTGAGGTGCGACGCCCCGAGGCCGAGCATCGCGTGCGCCAGAAAGTCGTGCTGCTGGGTCAGGACGCGGGACTCGAATACAGCGGCGGCAGGCTCACCTCGTGTGACATTTGCGACACAAGCTGCCAGACGGACCACCCGCCGATGGGCAGTGGCGGGTACGCGCAGACGAGAAAGTGCTGGAAGAAGCGCAGGTCCGCCATGCTAAAGGTGCCGGGCGCTGGCAGCGCTCTGGTCGGGGCCGGAGGTGCCGCTCTCGTCACTGCTACAGCATCGCGGCCCGCCCTCGAATATTCGCACCCCAGGCCGAGACGCCGGCACGGCCCGCACTCCGGGATCACCTCGTCACACTTAACCTTACGTTTTTTGCAGTTAGTGCACCCGGCGCGCGACTTGGTGTGGCCCTTGCGGGGGATCGGGCGCCGGCGGGCAGTGGCCGGTGCCGGCGACGTTGATCCCGGGGCAGACGAGATTGAACCCGACGACGTTGTGTATAGTGTGGCTTCTTGGCTGGACATTTTGCAGACGATTGCGACCGGGTGATGAGAGATGAGGCGGAAAAAGGGCTGATGTATTCATAGTCGGGCCTGGTCAGGCCGTCTGACGGTGCAACCCAACCGAGATCCGGCACGCTATGCTTGGCAACCAACCAATTCAGTTGCCCGGTTGATTAGGCTTGAATCAACTTGAGCCAAAACGCGTGACACAGCATTGGTGGTCTGTCCCAAGCGCGCTCGTTTCGCGCTCGTTTCGTGTCAATTTGGCGTCGGACTACAATCAAATCAAGAGCTTGTCACTCACCTCCTCTAGTATCGTGTCCTAGAGCGTGCCCCGTTCCAGCTTTTGAGCCAATCCTATCGGGGAATCTACCCCTGGTCATTTTGGCTTCTCGGAACGGGCCCCGTTCCAGAATCTGGGCCCGTTACCCGCCTGTGCTACCCCTATAGAAGTAAATGAAACTCATCTTAGACGAGACCCCTTTTAGCATGTCAGCCGGGACAAAACCCGTCACCCGTCATGCGAAGCAGTTCAAGGTGTAGTTTGTCCATGAAGCCGAGTCATAATAGTTCAGAACGGTGAACAATGAGTCGTCTCACTAAGGTTTCGATACAACAAGTTGAGCCAGCCGAGGCTTCGACGGACTGCAAGGTCAACCCCAAACAGCTGCTGTCGGTTGGCCCGCGGAAACCCTCCCAGCGAGATATTGATAAGTTGTTTGCTCTCAGTCTCTACTATAACGAGCCTGAGCCCGCTGTCCTGTGCATCCGTTGCGCTTTTGCATTGAAGACAGATCCCTCCCGTGTTTCATGCCATCTCGGTGAAGAGCACATGCCTGAAGGCCAGCTCCGGGCATTGGAAGCGGATCCCAAACCTGAATGCATCACCAAAGACGATGTTATGAATCACATCAAGAGTTTATGTTGCCAGTTCAGTGGAAGAAAACTTGATGAGAGGCTTACGGTGTTCAGCGCAAAGTATCATCTTAACCCACATGGGAGACCCTAGGCTACTCTGGAAAGCTCCATCGTAACTCGCACCACCAACACCGCTTTTGAATCAACATGCTGAAAGTTGGTAAAGGCTTGCGCGGACTGGCTCGCCTCAGGGGTGAGGAATGGCCGATACTATCCAACCGGGCGTGGGTTCGTGATCAAATGTCGAGTGACATACGAAACCGCCTGCCGGATTTCCGCAAGAATCGTGCTTAAAGGTCAGACGGAGCAGAAAGGAGAAGCGATGGGACGTTGCCGAGTGCTATCAGCTTCCAGCGGGTCTTAAATACCCCAAGGTCTGCCGATAAGGGTAAGTTACTTGTACCTATCGTGTCCAACATAAGGAATGTCTGACCTCTCTCTAATACGCCTTCTTCATTATCTCATGTCGTAGAGCCAAGGACGGAGGCAAAAGTTCCCATAGTATGTTCCCATACTCTTGCTCTAGCATCGGCTAGCTGGAGCTTGTTCAGCTTCGCACTGTTGTCCATTCTGCTAGCTTTCCGGTCGACGCAATAGCTCCCACTGCCAATAGCGCCATCAGATCCAACCAGTACTTGGGAGTTGTCGGTGCAGCCTAGCGCGGCCCTATCACCGTGTCTATTATTCCTCTTGGAAGGCAGGCTCCCTGACAACGAAATAAACATCATCCGGTCGCCAGCTTCGTCGTAAGACTGAGCGAAGAGTGATAGAATAGGATAAATGACCCATCGGATGAGCTTGCGCACGACCCAGGGAAGAGGGCCCGTCGTGACGTTGGTCGTCAGGACCAAGCCCGGGTAGACGTGGACGAAGCTTTCCGTCGGCTGTCGCTCGGCGTACTCTTCCATGCAAAAAGTGTTCATGTAGGAGCAATGGGATAAGCAGGCGACGTTGCCGTACTTTTCGCGGAGACCCAGGTCGTTGAGATTGAGGCTGTGCTCGAACCTCTTTGGACCGAGCACGGATGCGACGCGAGGGCAGGTAGCCTGCTCGAGGAGCGGAAGGAGGTTACGGATGAAGCGCATGCGACCGTAGTAGCGCAGCGACATGAGTTCGTCTATGCCCTCTGCGGTTTCTAATGCGAGACATGATAAGTCCTACTTCAATGTACCTAGAAGGGAATTGTGATCCAGCTTACCTACTCTGCCCGACATGGTCGGAATGTCTGGCGTCATGTATAGCAGGTTCACCTTGGACTCCGTCTGTCCTATGTGAGAACATACCCTATCGACGTCCCTGAGAAGGACAATGTCCTGCTGGATAAACTCAAAAGTCGAGGACGGCGAGAGCTCTCGGCACGTCGCGAGAGTCGTCGCTGCCGACGCGGCGTTCCTGCCGACGATGTAGGCAGTGGTGCCGGTAGCCCATCTTGCGAAGCTCTTGACGGCAGCCTCGCCGATGCCCGACGTGCCGCCGACGAACACCGCGACGAAGCCTTGGCTCTTTGGCGTGAAGGTGGTGAGCGCGACCCGCATCGTAGTTAGCTTTACCATGGTATGTGGATGCTGCGCATGTAATACGGACGGGGGGTTTCCTTTACGCTGTGCGCTTGTCGACGTGCTAGAGTTGAGTGATGACAAGCAGATGTCAAGTTGAAGTGGCTGTTCTGGCAACTGCTAAGGTTGGAGCGAATAGTAGCAGTTCCAGGACAGGTTATCTATTACCATGCTTGGCCAAGGGGATGAAACTGCGCGCCAAGGGTTGCTGTCGGGGTGTTAGATTGGCGGCTGGAAATGGGCTCCACTCCCCTTTATTGCAATATTATTCATGTATCCAACTGAGGGGGTTGAACAACGAAAAACAAGACTCAAACCCACAATCAATAATATGAATACATCCGAATCCACATTTAATATGCTCACCTCATCGGATTTGCGCGTATCTAACACGGGGTAATCTATCCGGTCGGTTCGCAGCGGAGGTGGAAAGGGGGCCAACTAGCGCCGTGACGTAAATGGCCTTGTCGCAGACGGACGGCATCCCTGCCAATTCTCCACGAGCCAATCATAATCTGTTTATGTTGAGCTAACCCCCAAGCCTGGGTTCTCTTATGGTATTAGCAATATTTCACTGCCCAATTAATTACTTTGAGAGTATTGATGTGACGGTTGTGTTTCCCAAGGGATAAACTAGTCCGTTCTAGGTTTATGTTGGTAGGATTGTAGGATACAGTCTGAGCGTAGCGAAGATGTCACGCCTCTTAATAGTCGATAATGCGGGTAAGGCTTTATCGAGGTAAAGAAGTTGTATTGATAGCTAGTGGGCTAAGTCCTATGAAAGTGCTAATGAGCATATCTATACACTTGGGGCCCGTTGAGGGATCCGTTCAGGGATCAGTTGACGTTATCGTGGGATCAGTGCTGAGTCCAGCCTTGGCGCTGACCGGGATTGGGTCTGACTGTTTATTGGTAGAAACTTGTGGGGTACCCGTAACGTAGCCGCAAGGTTCGTAACAATTGGGAGAGTAAATGTCGCAGGCCGGGCATGGTCTCAACGAGCCTCAGGAACAACAACCCTTTGTAATCAAGCTGGGTGATTTAAAAGTAAAACCTGTGGGATAGAATACCCCACACAGATGATAGAACCAATCAACTCACTACTGCTGCTCATTATGAATGACCCGACCTTCAATCCATTTTAAGCACATCCAGTGCGACAGTAAATAAACGAAAAAAGCAAGGATCGAGAGCGTGAAATCTTAGAAACAATATCTGAAAAGCTACGGGTTGTCGAGCATTCTCGAGCGCGGCGAGGAAAGAGAGCGCGAACGAGCGTGAAATCGTCGTCTCCAACAAACTTTAAAGAAAACAAGCCCTTGTTCTCCATGAATGTTCTCGCTACCCCAATTGATAACGGGCACCAACCAGCCAGCCAGCCACATCCACATCCACATCCACGGATCGTCAGTCCTCTGCCAGCGCTTCCATTAACTCTTCGTACGTCGGCGCCAGCTAGGTACGCAAGTGTTGTCTTAAGACCACTCTTGAGATAGGTAGGTAGATATCCGGTTCATCGCCGGTTAACCGGTTAAACGTGAAGTCGCAAGGTTCAATGACAAATACGGTGACTCGGGACTGTGTCCCGCAATCGCCTCCCTTCCACCATCATCGTCAGTCCCATAATCTGCCGTTGACCACACTCTTCGCCCAGAGCCAACAATGTCAGCCATAGTGATTCAGACCCAGACGGAGTCGCTCGAGCTCGCCAGCCTACCTCCAACATATCGCCGCGCCGAGGATGGCAGGAAGACCGGTGAAGAGCAGCCGCCCGTTGAGATTCCTTCCGACGGTGTTCCTCCTCCTAATGCTCAGTCGCAAACGGAGAGGTGGAACTATCCAAAGGGGAACGTCGGCAAACTCGTTTTCGCGTTCCTTTCTTCTATTATTGCTGGAATGAACGATGGCGCCGTTGGTGTACGTCTCGTCCGCGAAACCGTCTTCTAGATAGTTCCAACTAACCTTATGCTCCAAATAGGCCTTAATTCCGTCTGTGCGTTTGACTCTCCCTAGACCTGATATTCTCCTTGCCCTGACTCGTCACAGCTTGAAGCATACTACGACCTCAGCTACACCATCATCTCACTCATCTTCTTGACCCCCTTCGCAGGCTATTCCATCGCCGCCTTCACCAATGCCTGGATCCACATGAAGTTTGGCCAGCGAGGCGTGGCCATCATGGCACCCATCTGCCACATCATCACCTTCGTCGCTCTAGCACTGCATCCCCCGTATCCCGTCCTCGTCGTCTGCAACATGGTCAGTGGCCTTGGCAACGGGCTGACTGACGCTTGCTTCTGCGCGTGGATCGGAGCCATGGATAAGGCCAATACAATCCAGGGATTCTTACACTCGTGCTACTCGCTGGGTGCTCTCTCTGCGCCTCTCATTGCTACTTCGATGGTAGTGTCTGCCGAGTTGCCGTGGTATACCTACTACTATGTCATGGTAAGAGGAGCCGTCTAGATTATCTGGACTGACCAAAGCTTACGTTAATAGATTGGTATCTCAGTTGTCGAATGGGTAGGTCTTACGGTAACCTTTTGGCACAAGACCGGCGCAGCGTACCGGGCAGAGCACGCGTCAAGTCCCGAATCATCAGGCGCTGGGACTCGAGAAGCGCTCAAGTCCAAAGTGACATGGCTCTGCGCGCTGTTTTTCTTTGCCTACATGGGCGTCGAAGGTTTGAACCCCCCACCGATCCGTCGTTGACCGACTTCTGACAAGCTGCATAGTTGGCCTTGGTGGCTGGGTTGTCACATTCATGTTGCGGGTGCGAAAGGCGACGAGACTAGCCTCCGGTGCTTCCGCCTCTGGCTTCTGGGCCGGCATGGCATTAGGTCGAGCAGTCCTCGGATTCGTGACTGAGCGCTTCGGCGAGCGACTGTGCATCAGCATCTACCTCACCATCTCCATCGGCCTCGAGCTCCTCTTCTGGCTAGTCCCACAGTTCATCGTCTCGGCCGTTGCCGTCGCCTTCCTGGGCTTCTTCCTCGGCCCCCTGTTTCCCGGCGCCGTCATGCTCACGGCAAAACTGCTGCCCGCCAAGCTTCATGTTCCAGCGATCGGGTTTGCGATGGCCATAGGAGGGATGGGCGGAACGGTGTTTCCCTTTGCAATTGGTGCGATCGCGAACAGCAAGGGTGTTGGAGTCTTGCAGCCCATCGTCCTCGCCCTCATCGCTGTGGTTGCGTTGGCGTGGGTCAGTTTTCCGCGCATCCAAAAGAAGAATTGAATCAACGGTGGAGAATTTAATACCAGTGGAACTATCAAGAGAGGAAAAAGCTAGGGATATTCAGAGGTAAGAAAAGGGAGGATGGATTTAGTAGCCTGAGGGCTGAGGCCGATGGGAAACAAGTCCGCAGGCGGTGAGGCTCTAAAGTCTGGGTTCATTCATTACTTCCCCATCCGGTACCCAGAGAAAGGATTTACTACCACTCTCTATACTTAACAGTCGAGTAGGTTTCAGCCGAGTAATATAGTTAGCGGATGCCCTCACTAAAATTCATCTCGGGTTCGACCTCTGGACCTCGCCCTGTCGGTACGCTATAATGGCGGCCACAGCTCACTCCCTTGACTGCCAGGGCCACAACCAGTCTCGCTTACTTGCACTTCGACGTCACCTCAGGTGTCATAGCGGAGACAACATCGCCGTGATAAAAAGGATGCACTTTCATGAATGTAATAAGGACAAGGGGTCAGCGCACGGACAAAAGGTATGTAATAAAGCAACCATTGGTACAGTAGTAGGGTTAGGAGGACGCCACGGCTTGTCTGGCTGGCAGTGGCTGTCCATCTTTGATGGGTAATATTTTCCTATTCGTCACCAGGTTCCGCTTCTCCGGAATGCATAGCTGTCAACAATATCATCCCAATACTCATTCTCGTGTAGGGATTCTTTGCCATTCTAGATCTCCCACATACCACTTGAGTATTTTACTGGAAAGAAGACGTATGTCCACCGTGATGTGCGGAGGATACTTTCTCAACTTAAGCTAACGCTCCACAGGATAAAGAATACTGCATTCGACGGGCAGAGAAGAACGGGCGTGTCGCTCCTCAAAAGCTCACTCTACAGGCTATCAAAAGTGTCTACACAAACTGGAGGCTCTGGATTTTGATTCTACCATATTTGGGAGTGCCGCTCGCGATAAGCCTTTTTTTTCTTCCCTGTAGTTCTGACACTTGGTAGAATGGTCGCCCAGGCTGGCAGCGGGACGGGTTACTTCAACTTCTGTCTCAAAGCTGAAGGATACAGCGTCGTTCAAATCAACGTGCTGCCGACCGCTAGTCACTTGAGCTGCTGGATCTTCTCCTAAGACACTGCGAAAAGTGGAAGGTATATAGTTAAGTTTTACATCTTCCTGCTTTATCTGTAGCTTATACGCCATGCTAATCGACTAATTAGGCCCACTACTCGCAGCCGAGCAATCGTAATGATCGTATAATTCACTCTATCGATATGTGCTGGTTTATACTCGGTAAGTATTACACTATGACCGAGGATGTCCCCGTATATACCGCTGCCCTCCTTCTCCATCCTTCTAAACGCAAGAGCTATATCGAAGAATGTTGGCCCGAGGAATGGCACGAGGGGACGTTTGCCGCCGCCCGTAGTCTCTGGAGGGAAGAGTACAATCACGATATCGAGATACAGCTCTCATAGCAATCCTTGGCTGTGCCTGCTTCATCAAAGCGAAAGAAGGATACGATGCTCACAAAGACGCGCTTGGAGCTACGAAATAAGACGATGGCGAGAGCACGGGGCAAGGATGATTTCGATAGGTTTATCTCCGAGGCTCCTACCGCACTTGCAGAGGGTACTACGCCTCTTCAATGGTGGCGTAGGTAGTGAGGACCGTCGTACAGCGTACCCGCGGCTTAGCCGTATGGCTATTGATATCCTGTCTGTACCAGCAGAATCAGCAGAGCCAGAGCGGAGCTTTTCGGGGCCTAGGCGCACAGCTAGATGGGATAGGCTACGATTGCTGATTGAGAGCATTGAGAAGATTGAGTGTATCGGTAACTGGCTGCGTGAGGGACATATTAGACCATCAGTTGAGTGGGGGGTAGGCCTCCCGTGTGATCCAGAGGCTATAGAGGGCGACATATAATAGCGAACAGGTCAAACGGGAGCGATTGAGACGTTTTCGGGCTCTATAGCTACATCAATGGATGCCTCTCACATCACTGCAGTAGCTTGGCATCACGTGAGCCCTTAAATGAATACGCATGAATATGTTATATGAATATGTGTTTTGCTAGATAAGTTGAATATAATATGAATATACGAAAATCAGTGTGAATATTCATATAGCCATGTATGGGATCAACCGATAGGTCATGTCTGGTGCTGCAATCGATGTGACACGAAAGGCGCAGCGGAGTTCTTCTCGGTGCAAGCCACATCTTCCGCAGCAGATCATCTCCGAAAGCATGTACTTGTCCCGTTCATTATTGTTCACAAGATACCCAGCAGCTGACCGACCTCCATAGAGCTCACCAGATCACCCCAGCCAGCCAGTCTAGTGAGCCAAGTCCTGGTGATGAAAGTGCCATTGATATTTATTCTGGCGCAACACCCAAAAGGCGCCGGCTTGAACAGAGCGTCATACCAAAAGCGAAAATAAAAGCCATACAAAAACTAAGCGTTGGGCTCGTCATTGATAGCGATGTGCCATTCACCATCTTCGAACACAGCTTCCTTCGGAAGATCTTCAACCATTTCGACAGCGATTTAGCCCAGATGGCGTGGAGTGGTAGCTCTGTCACTAAAGAGATACACCGGCTCTTTGAAGCGAAGCGAGATACCATCAAGGCAGAGCTCCGTAACGCCTTGACAGCGGTGCACATCAGCTTCGATCTCTAGACGTCACCGAATCGCTTTGCAATCATGGCTGTATTTGCGCACTTTATCGATAAACTGGGGCATCAGCAATCCCGTCTTCTGGCTTTGCGCCGTCAGTCTGGTGCTCATAGTGGCGAGAACCTTGCCGGTTCCCTGGTCGACATCGTCCACGAATGGGAGATTGAGGGGCGAGTTGGCTGTGCCATCTCCGATAACATGGCGGCAAACGATACTTGTCTGTACCACATGTACCAGCAGCTCGATCCATCGATGAGGCCTGTTGATATCAAGGCCCGCACTCGTTCGAGCTGGAGTCTGATATCAACAGCATGCGCGGCCTTATTGAGCAGGACCTGGGTCGTTGGCGCGCAAAGGGCCCCATGGGGAAGCTCCGCAATATTGTCGAGTTTATCCGTTCGTCGCCGCAGCGGAGTGAACAGTTCAAGCGAATAGCCCGGGAGCAGGATTACGAGGGATATCGGCTCTGCGAGGAATCTACGGCCGAGCTCGAGGTTGCCATGAACAATGAAACGCGGTGGAACTCAACGTACATGATGATTGAGAGGGTTTTGCGAAAGCAGACAGACACCAGGGCGTTTCTCTTTGCGATTCGGGAGGAGGAAAACGGGGGCAAGACGTATCCCGGCGGATGGCATATTGTCCAGCGAAGAATGGCGGGTTCTTGGCGAAGTGAACGAGATTCTCAAACCTATATACCTTCAGACGATGTGGACGCAAGGCTGGGGTAAAGGTGACAGGCATGGACGCCTATGGGAGGTGTTGATAGGAATGGAATATCTGCTGGAGCACTTTGAGGACTGGAAAGTCTTCTATAGTGAAGTTGCGGCGGAGACAGTGGGTGGAACTCATCTGGATGCCGCGGAGCGGATTGCGACGGCGCCGGCAAATTTCCGTGAGCGCAACAGTCGGCCAAGCCGCGTACGCCGTCTCCCTGCCCGCTTTGACGAGGATGAGGTTTATGCGCTACCGCAGCGGAGCCAACCCACGAGATTCATAGAATCTGCCTTACCGCCGCATTCTCGGGCTGAATTTTCCACGGTGGAGAAGCGATCAGCGTCCAAGACGTCGCAAAAGAGCACATTACCAGCAGACCATCGAGCCTATATCCGGGCATCGATTAATAACGGGTAGAAGAAACTAAATGAGTATTATAACAAACTCGGAGAATCTCCCTTGTTCGCGGCAGCGATCATTCTTCATCCGAGGTTCGGGATCAGCTGGTTAGAAGCCACTTGGGTCTCTAAGGAACAACTCGCTTGGGTTCGTGATGCCAAGGTTGGAATTAAGGATTACTTTACCCGTTGGTACGATGCGAACCAGGGACTGTGTGAAGAAACAACGACGTACGATGCAGCGCCAAGGACGATGGGCCAGAGGATGATCAGTACACTTAATGGATTAATAGCAAGACGAAGAAAGCGTTTGCGATGAGCGGCAGTGTCGGCGAGCTCGAAAGGTATCTCCGTCTCGAGCCACAGGATACGCAGGATGCTATCCAATGGTGGAGAGACCACAGGGCTTCGTTTCCTTCACTGAGCAGCTTTACTCTGGATGTCTTTGCTATTCCAGAGATGGCAAGCGATTGTGAGAGACAATTTAGCCTAGCGAAGCTGACGTTGACGTCTCAGAGGCTTTCGATGGGCTCGGATACATTGGAACACGTTCAGTGCCTCAAAAACTGGGTCAGGCAAGGCGGAGTAAAGTTGGGCAGCTGGGTGGGTACCCGACTTTTGGTGTGCACGAGGGGGATGACTTCACGGAGGGGTCTCCACCCATAGAATTGATATAGAACATCAATCAAATCGAACAAATCAACTTTGAGCTCGAGGGCTATCAATCAGATCAACTTTGAGGTCAAGGTTGATTTGATTGACATATGATGAGCGCTGCTCCCCAGCCTCTCATTTTCTGCACCTTTCAAACCGTCATTGCGTTTAATTGTGACGTTGCAAGGCATCCTCAAAGCGTCACCCGGATACCCTAGACACATCCTCCAAAAATGCTCCCACACAAGCTTTTGAATAAACTTTTGAAAATCTCATTAGCGGGCTGTTGGAGCACTTGAAAAATGCCTCTGTCGACTACCCGCGCGAATTCCATCAAGTCCTCCTGGAGGGAACCCGATTCGCATGTCCTATATTCATTAAACAAGAAATATTGTAAAACATAAAAGAAATGAAGCGCTTTTCCGAGGCTGGGTGTAGAGGTGTCCGGATTATCATTTATTGCGGTATCCGGATTATCCTTGATCTTATCAAATGAACCGGGTTATCGTGCTATTTAACAGGGATGGCGTTCGATTTAAAACCAATGCGTATTAATTCCTAGAATCGACAAGGGTGCTATTCGTCGAAGACGCGATCTTATTGGCTGAGCCCCCGAACACGAGGGAAACCCGACACCCTAAACCCATCATTGATCCCAACTCTGATCAGGATCAAATCCAGCCAGTTTACGCTTAGCAATGCTGTCGAGACCAATTCTGGGGCATTTGCAAGGCAAGGACAGGCTCAAAAGGTGACCCTCAAATTTGGCCGTGGTCACACAGAAGCATCCTGATTTGCTGTTCGGTTCCTGAGATCGAGGTCCCAAATACGGCAATATATTTCTACTCCTTCGAGTACTCCAACGTGACCATTTCCCCTTTCATCTAAACCTCTCCAATCTTCATATTCTTCTCAACTGAGAGCCATTTGCCTCGCCCTAGCATTTGCAAACATTGGAATTGCTCAATGCACTCCCTGTCGAAGATGATACGAATACACCGAGGACTTTTAGCCCGTGACCTTGTAGCTTTTGAATGTTTTCTTCATAAACTGGTTCCCTTCCACCCCGTAGTATGCCTTGCCTTTGCAGTTGGTCTTGCTGTAGGCGGTGTACCCCTTTGCGTCTGGCCAGCCGCCAGTCTCGGGGTTGAAATGAATTTCAGTTGTAGGCCAGTTGTAATCAGAGCGAAGGTTGGTGCATTCGTTCCTTTCATGTCCGTTTGCGAAGACCTTCTTCGTTCGTGTGCCCTTGCTGGCGAAGAAATCGAGTGTCCAGGCTTGCGCCACGGAGGCCATGGCTGCGGCGGCGAGGATGGAGGAGACCTTCATGATGAGTTGCTGGGTGTGGGTATTGACCTTCGAGGGGCGATGGTTAAAGTTGAGGTTGACGAGTCCTCTTGCTTCTTTCGATGCATTGAGCGGCCTCTTATAGTTATCCTGAGGGTGATGCTTTAGCAGGGGTCAATCCAGGCATCTCACATCTGTCCTGGACTCGCAAAAGTAAAGAAGCTGACTGCCATAAGCTCGTTCTTCAACGGAGCTGTCAGTTGCTCCGTCAGTTGTGCCATCTTACCACTAGTGTGAGGCATTTCTGAACTCGGCGAGCCGAATAAGCTATGCTGCCGGGTGGACTAACCTCATAGGGCCAAATTATAGGGGCGGAGTCGAGCTGTAGTTGTGTCAAATAGATCAGACCCATGAGATTTTCAGGGAAACGGCGTTGCTTGGCACAGCAGCAGTCCGCGGAAAGTTCCGAATACCTCTCCAGCTACCTTATTTACGAGGGAGTAGTTGTACCTTCTGATGATGAATTGGACAGCCCACTGCGGTATTAGCTTGAGCGGCCATGCTAATTATAATATTAATTTTCCTGCCTAACGCAACCGTGGCCGTCGCTGGCTCGTGAGAAATTGTCCCCAACAGATCAGGGAAGGATCGTCTGTCTCGTCGCCACTAATCCATTTTTTCTCGGTCAGGGTTGACATGGTCTGGATCCATTCAGTGAAAATCGGTCGATCATTCGTCTGCTCTAAGCACTGCATAAACAAATTCCGCGGTTTCTCATCTCGGTATTCCCCTCCTTGCTGGGGTCATGTGCCGTGAAACCCCGGAAGTCGAATCGTGCAGACACTGTTTGAGTTTCTGCCCCTCATGAGCCTGACGCCACCGGCCCATCATTCAGTCGACTCTGTTCCTGATCCGCGGTACCATTGCCTTCAGCCGATCCAATCTCTCCTGTTCCAATATTGAGCCATTGTCATCATTCCTCGAGTCGCTCGTTCTGGTCTCGAATCTGCCGATTGATTCCGTCGAGTAGTTCTTGCTGTGACGCTTCGTCATGCGCCAACCTCTCCTAAACCCAAGGGCAAGCCATGCGCATACCTACTGAAGGACTGCCAACCGAGATTCGATGGATACGAGGCGCACACCCGTGGGAACAAAGGCGCCTACAAGGTGGCTAAGTAAGCCACAGGCTGGAGACAAAACGGTCCCCAGGGCCAGCAGCGAATTTGTGTACACGTTTCCGCCGACCTGAACTTTGATCGAAGCGACAAAAAATAAAAAAGCATGCCCTGCCAAGCGCGGTGTGCAATGGAGCGACTATACCCTCATCGTCCATTACCTCATCGTCATCGCCATCATCCTCCTCTTCGTCTTCATCCTCATCCTCATCCTCATTATCGCTGCCGGCCTCGTCGTCGCCCTCGGCTAATTTCCTCCCGCTGCCGCTGCCTAAGATCTCATCTATGTTGATATCCACTTTCAGTCCCAGCATCATCTCGTCTACTCTCTCTTGTACAAGCTCAATGGCTTTCAAATGGGTCGCGCAGAATTCAGAAGGCTTAAACTTTTTGTCGTGTCCGATCGTGAACGATTGCCCGTCCGGATCCCAGGAAAGGTTTCCCGGAATACCTTCTCTCTTGACAATTGACTTAGCAAAAGCTTTAAGCTCAATGATTTCCCCAAATGGGGTATAACAGCCTCGGATCAAGTACTTCTTGCGAATCGCATCCAGGCGGTCAGGCTGCGACGGATAATGATCCCGGCATGGCCATTCGTAGGCTAGAGTAGCATAGCTATAGACCGTCAGGGCATATTCGAGGAACAAGAGCCGGCCAACCCAAATCAGTCCTGCTAATTCGGACGTAGAGTTATGCGCCGCATTGAAGGTGAGAGTACGTCGTTGTATACCCATGACAGCAGTGTAATGAATGATGACCGAAGATGACATATTTCCAGCAGGGTCTTGATGTGTCCAGAACATCATTGAGAGTTGGAATAAGGCCTCGGACAGCCGCAGCCAATAGCCAGTTGGAAGACAAAAGCCGGTTCCTTCACAGTCTGATATATGATCGTTTTCCGCTTCCTCATCCTCTTCAGAGTCAATATCTTCGTCTATACTTTCGTCAAAATATTCGTCTGTTCTGTATTTTCAGGATCAGAAGGAATTTCGCAGTCGTTATGCCGGTCCTCGCCATGGGTTCGTCATCTTCGCTGTCCGAGCTGTCACTAACATGATCGTCTCCTCCCAATTGTAGTTGTTCGACCAAGTACAGTATATGCTGCATCATCTTCACCTCGTTGGATCCTAGACGTAAGTTGTACACTTCCTGACGTTGCCGTGGCGGGTACTGCAGAACGCGAAATACGAAGCAGATGAATCTTTTCCATATTGCCAAATATCTCTTGAAGCTTGGTATGAGCCAAAATCCGTGCGGCCAAAAGCATCTTTCGCGAATGTGTTTAGCCAACAGAGAGAGATGTACGGCGTACGATCGAGTGTAGCTCTTGCCCTGTTGAACATCAAGTCTAGTCCGTGAAGGATGATCTGCAGCTGAGCCTCAGTTTCGGCAAAGCTCCACAAAGGGAACCCTTGCCATTGGCCAAGCAGATAGTTTACACTTGGTTGTAAGGCTGGTTGCTTAGCCGTGGCGGCGATGATTTCGAGTGATCTGTTGCGGAACAGCTCGGCCCAGCGGGTGTGATGGAGCCTCGCTCGTTCCAGCAACCGCGACACGATCAGTTTGAGTACTTTCGAATGGTCTTTTCATGATGTGAATATCCCAACTTCGGGATTGATACTTGCGGATGGCTTGAGAGGGTGATGGCAATGGAACTCTCCAACTGCTCAAACCCCGTATGACTGAACGTGTAGGCGGCCAGGATAAAGACGTCGTACGCGCGTCGACGCGTTCAGGTCATTTAAATGGCTTGAAGTCGAAACACTTCAATGGAAAAAAAGCAAAGTCGACCAATGAAATAGCGAGATCACCACTTTGGTTTAAACTTTGCTCGGAGCACATATATTGAGAACCCTCTTTCAGATGAAAGTGGAATGCGGGGTTGATACAAGGGTTATCAGCCAATGACATTGCGAAACGTCCACTTTCATCGAATGTGAATGAATCCATAGAGATGTAGGGATGAAGGACGTCAGCCCTCATCTGCTGTAGACAGATATGGCAAAGCCATGACACAACCTGATCGGCGATAACATTCTCCCTGGGATACTGCCGGAGCCACTCGAGACCCAAGTCAGCACGGCGACCGAGATCAAAGAAGTGCCTGACATGGCCACCATACTTGAGATATCGTTGATGAAGAGTGCCATTCCCAAATAATACTGAATCAGTAATATCTGGAAGAAACCTCAACAGAGTCCAATTGCTACGAGGCTGAATCTAGCAGTAGCCATACTGCTCTAGTGTTTGACCATAGAACTCCCCCAGAGTGGTCACGATAAGTGAAAATAAGTGATATCCAGTAATTGATATCACTGATTACAGAAACACTGTAGATGATCAAAGTACTTCATTTTACGATGGTGCCGGGGGGGGGTTCACTCATAAAGACCCCGCACCTGACAACATATTGGGTGGCACGGCTGAACTTCGCTAAGCTAGCGCCAGCCATGTTAGGAAATGTAACGCTCGACTGATGAAGTGCACTACTCTATAATAGGAAATGTCACGCTTGATCGAGAGTCACTCTATCGCAGCATACCATGACATGCCGCGACAGCAATATTGATTCAAATAGAATAAAACTTCGCTTTTAATTCTCTTTAAACCAGCGAAATATAGATCAGAATTCAACTTGGCCAAAAAATTGGTGGCGGCCTCGAAGACCTAAGTCGCATTTGCCCACTGGAGAGGTTGGAGATGGCGCACGGACCCAATATTTCTTGTATTGACCCAAACTCCTAGAGATCCGAAAGGGGAAGGTGCACGAGCCGCAAAAGTTGGTACTGGGCCCATTACCACTGCCCATTACCAGTGGTAATTGGTACAGTAGATAAAAAAATTTATAATGGTTGGAGGGGTCCGGGTTGACCTCTACGTTCAAATAGAAGGAGAAAACAGATTTTGACACACTATGTCTCAGCCACGCTAATGCACGAAGTAAAAAGTACACTAGAATATAGGAAGAGCCTTTGTCAATTGACTTCTTTCAATAAATTGCATTTTACTCATTTGAAGTGATCTGTATCGGCCAAAAAGACTCATCACCAAACTTGTATAGGGTAAGCCGCTGGTAAAATCAAGCTGTCTCCCCTGCCTAATAGCAACCAATCAGAGGCTGTTTAAACTGTCTGGCATCCCTGCTGCTCCTTCGCGAGCCAATGAAAGCATGTTTAAAGTGAAAGTACCCCTGCAAATATCCACTGGCGACTTCCTGACTGATTATCCACTGAGCGTGCTTAAAGGGTTAAAGTGAATGTGATAAGCAGCAGCAAATGTGTTGATTGACCCTGCTCCGGCATAATTAAGTAGTTAGTGGTGTATGATATTCCCATCCAATGTCACGAATCCGTCAATCCATCGCCGCCCCTTTCATAGGAATGCACGTCTATACTTCCGCCATGTACCGACTCTGTCTTGAAGTCCATGCATTCATCCTCTCATCATTACCCTCCCAACCCGCCTTGATCAACCAGAACAGGGCCATTAACGGTGTCGTGAGTAACCCCAGAACGCCACCAAGAATAGCCTTGAAAGCCTGTGGTGTCCACCGATCTTGATATCTCCAACCCCCACCATCGCGTTCTCCAACGGTCGTTAAAACCGCCACGCTCAGGGGTCAGAAAATAAAGAAGCCCAAGACAGCGAGTATAAAGCCCCTCAGCGCCCCTTGCACGATTGTCGTAAGTACAGGAGGGACCTTGGATTCCGGTTGAGGCTCTTTCTCTTCTACTTCTGAGTCGCCTGGATCAGAGGCTGGTGGGAGAAAGAATAGCTATCGAAGCCACTGACACGATAGTTCTTGAATAAAGCCAATCGGCTGGACAGACCGTTTCGAAAGGTCATAACTGACAAGTCCCATCTCAACGAACCACGTGAGAATGCATTGGACAATAATAGTTACAGCTGCATCACCTGATAATGTGTTTGGCAGTTGAAACAACCGAATTGGGTTCTTGACGGTGTCTTGCGTAGTGTACATGCCTATCCATTCTCATTAGTCTTCATCTCAAATGCCAGCTGCAAACTCACCATAAGCCAGAGCAAAATTCACACCCCCGGATAAAGCCATATCGCCTATACCATCAAGACCAAAAACATAGAATAGCTGATGCCCCGTAAGCTGTAGACTCGGCTTCAAGCGCCCCTAACTGTCACTGTCATCTCCTCTTTGTTCCTATCCCAGGCCGCCCAGGTTGTCAGGTTTCAGGATCCCGCTAGACCCCTGCACATTCAGCCCCTGTGTCTCAAGTTGTGCCGCCGTAAGCATATCTTTTCCCTGGGGAGAACAACACCTGTAAACTTGTTTGGTTTGTCTTTTTCTTTCGTCTTGGGAAATTTTAATTAAAGGTTGCCTAGTGCTTAAAGGGGAATTCGGGAAATTAAGCGAGAAAGTCGCCAAAAGCTTGGACTTTTAGACGGCAAAAAAACAAAAGTCTGTTAGCGAAAAAGAGAGAATGCGAATACTAATCCGAGATTTACAATACCACTTTGTTGAAAAATTGTTCACATGGCACCATTTTACACCGCTATCTCATGGGCTGTCACTCGATTCTATGACACTTGTTGAGAGTCGGTAGTTGAAGGTTTTCCGACACTAGAAAAAAGCATAAAAACACACTATTTCCCTAAAGTTTATCACTCTCGGGTGGAAGAACTGTTTGGGGTTAGCGTCATTGTGAAGCTCTTACGGTTTCACCACGGAATACCACCACGATCGGTTCAATCGGGCCAAGAAGACGGCGTGCAACGCACAGCTGACCTGTCAAGACGGAATTGATTGACGCCACCTGAGAATCTCGGTCTTTTGTCTATGTTCGGATAATTCATCCGTTGATTTAATCTATCCAGCGGTTAATAGATTCATCTTCATTCGTCTAGACTCTAGATATCTTGAAAGCGACGTAAGGAGCCATCGTCTCAGGATGATTGACCCAAAGTTTGGGCCTGCAAGGGACTTGAGATGGGGACTTGCAGAAAAATAAACACCAGTGACATGATTCCTGCAGCGCTAAAGCAGGAACAAAGAACGCTTGTGTTTTTTCATCTTGTCGTCTCCCCGCGGTTTCAGGCACAGAGGTTCGCTGGCCGAGATGGCCAGCACAGCTCGCTAGCAAGAAAGGCATTTCACTTCGCTTGGGATGGCGTTGGCAGTTTTCAACTGAAATGACCGTATATTCATTTCTTGACAATAATTAATCTTACCTTAGGCCTCTACAGACTATCGTGAAGACCTAGATACTAGCCTCTAATATACTGTCGGTAAAATGCTACTCTAAACTTAATTACTATTAAAAATACTTCAACATGTGCATGGTCTGCTCATATCTCGATCAATCATATCCATAGTGCCACAGGGGCTGAAACCGCCTTGACCAACACCATGCAAACCTTTACCACCCTCACCAGCCTTATCCCTGATGGCATATCGACCCGAGCAAGACACCCCTACATCAATCTATCCAGGACAGGGCCGTTCCGTTTAGCCATGGGGCTCTTTGCCCAGCAGCCCAAGTCTCCAAACATTGATATAAACCGTCTTTCTTCTCCCTCGAAGCACTCTCTTTCTCCACTCAGGCTCATTCAGCAGTTCATTCCATTCACTTTTTGCTCCTTGCACATTCTTTCACGGCTCTTTGACAGAAGTCGTTTCATTCATTCATTCACTTAAACCGCCAGTCGGATATCACCACTCTTTACAAACCAAACAAACCACCTTTCTTATACAACAACTTCTTTTTTTCCAAAATGCCTTCTTTCACCTCAAAGACTCTTCTCGCCGCCGTTGCCGGTGCCATGGGCGTTGCTGCCCACGGTCACGTTTCCCAGATCAACGTTGCTGGCACTGTCTACGAAGGCTACGATGCCCCCACTGCTCCCTACTACTCGTCCCCCAAGACCCTCATCGCCTGGTCAAGAACCGCTACCGATAACGGTTATGTCGCCCCTGATGCCTTCAGCTCTGCAGACATCATCTGCCACCGCGGTGCTAAGAACGCCAAGGGCCACGCCAAGGTCAAGGCCGGTGACCAGATCTACATCAAGTGGACCAACTGGCCCGAGAGCCACAAGGGACCTGTCATTGACATGTTGGCCTCTTGCGGTTCTGCCGGCTGTGAGACCGTCGACAAGGAGGCCCTCAAGTTCTTCAAGATCGATGAGGTTGGTCTCGTCAAGGCCGGTAACCCCGGTACCTACGGCTCTGACGAGCTCATTGCCAACGACAACGGCTGGCTCGTTCAGATCCCTGAGAACATCAAGGCCGGTGCCTATGTCCTCCGTCACGAGATCATTGCTCTCCATGGTGGTTTCCAGGAGAACGGTGCCCAGAACTACCCTCAGTGCTTTAACCTCGAGATCGAGGGTTCCGGCACTGAGCAGCCCGAGGGTATCCTTGGAACTGAGCTGTACAAGCCCGACGACAAGGGCATTAAGTTCGATATCTACAGCAACCCTACCAGCTATCCCATCCCCGGCCCTGCTCTGATAAAGGGTGCTGTTGAGGTCACCCAGGGCAAGCTCGCTGAGAAGTCCCAGGGTACTCCCACCACTGACTACGATTCCGGTTCTGACTCTGGCTCCGGCTCTGGCTCTGCCGCTCCCGCTACTCCCTCTAAGACTGAGGCTCCCGTCGCTGGTACCTCCGCTGCTGCTCCCGTTAAGACTTCCTCTGCCGCCCAGGAGCCTTCCACTCCTGTCCAGACTTCTGCCCCTGCTGCCCCTAAACCCACCAAGACTGGCTGCAAGTCTAAGCACAGCAGCAAGAAGGCTCGCCGTCACGCTCGTGACCTCATGAACTAAGCAGCCCGCTGAGCGAGGTTGTGTATGAAAGGTTTTTACAAGGATCAAAAGCCTGCCTATCCTGAATGGGATGAATCTTTGAGTATTATGCTGTATATATATGTGACCTCGAGTCCGATATTATTCAATTACATTGATTATCATTCATGACATATTATTGGGAGCATGGGTCAAAGGAAGTTGAAGGGCGGCCGCTCTTAGTTTCATAATAGCTTGTAAACCACAATAATAACACCACGCTAGTCATACTCCGTAGATATCTTAACCTAGATACTTGGCATCTGCTTCCTCAACCACCTGCTTCGTATCCAGCTCATCTGAGTAGAGACCATCCGGCGCATCGCCAAAGATGACTGAGATCTCCTCAAGCGTACGGCCACGAGTCTCGGGATAGAAAAAGAAGATTACCAGGCCATAAGATAAGAGAAGGGCCACATAGACAATATAGTACTTCCAACCAATGGCTGATAAAGCATTGGGTTGACAAACACGTTGAAAATGAGTGCCAAGATCATGATCATCCACGCTACAGAGAGACCGCGACTGCGTAGCTGGAATGGCCAGAGCTCAAGAGGGTACGCAACCTGAAGAGAGGTTCTACCGAGAACTGCGCTAGTGACACGGTTTAGGATGTAGGCAAGCAGAGTGGACTTACACTGCAACAGCGTAACCAGCATTAAAGAGAAACACGAATGGAATCATGGTAATTCCAACTGAGTGCGATCCAGTCTGCGCAAAGCTTCCTGACATAGCTGTAATCAGAATAAAGCTAATAAGCATAATCGCACAAGAGATCATGAGAAGAAGTCGTCGTCCTAGTCGCTCAACGCATAAGGCATAGTACATGCTGCAATGAAACTCCAGATCTGGAGACAACCCATGATCAGGGCCTGGACTGTGACGCTAGTGATACCTACTGCAGCTAGAACGGTAGAGAGATAGTAGCTGACGACTCCATTGCCAACCCATTGACTGTAGATTGCTAATGATGCAGTGATGAAGAGGCGGCGACGATGTGCTGGTGTAGAGGCGAGTGATGCATAGGAGCTTGACTGCTTGGCTTGTTTCTCGGATTCAATGGCAGTGGTGATTTCGTAGAGCTCAAGCCGACAAGAGGATGGTTCGAATCACCGCCCTATTGTAACAAGGGCTCGTTGTAATGTGCCGAATTACACAGAATCTGGCCCGTGCACGCATCAAGGTCCTTCCAAATAAGGGAAAGATCATCTTAACCCCCACTTATTCTTCATTCTGATTGCAATTTCCCAACCATGCACGTTAGCAAGATCTCCCCTATTGGCCTTCATCGCGGTAGAACGCCAATAACGCAAGGATCGATACCACTCCTCAAATCATATCCTTACAGGTTTAGTTAAGTGGCCCTGCTCGAATGATACTAAATTGTTGAGCACGAGGAGAGTTGGCTCCAAGCAATTGGAGATGTAGAATGGTAAAAGAGCTGTGCAATTTTTCGCCCGAATCCTGTGTGGCACCTGTTGAGCTGAGTTGATCGAATGGTTTGCATCGGCTGCCTAGCCTATACTAAAGCGCTCTAGCGAATTAGAAGACTAAATGACCATCTTGGTGTTGATTGAGTTATGTTTCTTGGGACTATACAATGTAAAAAAAAGAAGTGACCCCGAAATCATGAAAATATGCGTTCGGCATAATGCCTCACTTCGTTGCGCAGAGGAGCCAAAGATACGAAACAGGCACAAATTCCCCTAGCATTTACATAGATCGCAGCGTTACAGCCTGCGTGGCGGCGGCGAGAGGACGTGAGTTTGTCGTTAAGCTGCCTCTGGACATAGGTGAAGTCGACGTTAATGCCCAAGATAGGGATGGATAGGCGTGTAAGATTGTCCAAAGAATCATGAGCACGAGAAAAAGCTCTCTCCAGAGCGGGAAAAGGAACCCCCGAGACTAGCAGTCAAGTCAGAGAAACATCACAGCATAAAGAATTGGCTACGTCGCACTAAGCGGCATAGTGGATACTGGGCGATCAGACTGGCCTCACTGATGAGGCTTTCAGCGCTCCAAATTCCTGTTGTCCCGAAACTCTAAGTAGAATAATTCATAGTGACGCAATCATTCTGGGCTGACGTGGATGTGTCTGAATCTCCGTTGTGAGAAGGCGCCGTGGCTTGAGATCTAGAACCTCGGTCCCTATTTTTAGGGTTTTCAATACTGAGCCACATCGATGCTATACAGCCCTATCGAGTATTGAAGGGGTGTACTGCCAAGCCACCGGGCTGTTAACAGCAGGGTAAAGCCGCAGAAGGGTTGAGCCTCACCAGGCTATTCCAAGAAGAGCATAGCTTAATTGAAATATATGTCTCCTCTATCAAGAATCTGGGCTAACCAGTATGTCTGAGGCATCTTGTCAATGCCATCCTCTCTCTCTGATAGGCCAGGACACAGCCGCACAGGTCTCATATAGTCGGATCGTGGAGCCTCCGGGTCTAGTTGTCATATTGTTGCTAGAGATGTAAGTGACGTTCTTGAGATAAAAATACTCGAGTCACATTTATTCGTGAATTCAGAAGTGTATATAACGATCATCAAGGTCCTAGCAAAAGTCCCAATTCTCACCAGCATCACTACTATCAATCACTTACTTAACAAAACAAATCAAGTCAACCACATCTACCTTCGCTTATCAGCTTAAGCCTCTCGATAAAATGCATTTCACCACCGCTGCCCTCTCTGCCCTCCTCGCCTCCGCTGCCTTGGCCGTTCCCCTCAACTCCACTCCTTACGACAACCCAGACAGCAACATCTTCCCAGACTTTGACCGCTACTCGGACTGGGCGATCTGCAAGGGCAAGATAACCAAGGACCGCTTCCCCAACCTTCAGGCTCCCAATCGTGAGGGTGGCTGCGTCCGGTACTACCGGGGTATCGATATGACAGGCGTCGTCACGGAGCAACACTTCTTCTTCAAGGATGGCTTCAAGACCGCCTGCGACTGTGCCGCCAAGTGTTTAGAGGAGCCTAATAAGTGCACTAACTGGGTGTGGAAGCATACCTTCATGCCGGAGGATGGTGGCAAGCGGTCGTGCACTCTGTACAGCAGTCCGAACCTGCCGACTGACGTGACGCTTAAGTACGACTTGGCGAACAGCAAGGGCTTCAACCTGTTGCAGGCTGCGAATAACCCGCAAGCTGGAGCCCCCGCGCCGTTGACTTTCCTGGACGCGGCTGGAACGATCCCTGATAAGTTTGGCATGTCTGGCTTCATGGTGCAGGACCAGAACGGTAGACAGTTCTGCTAGAAGGCTTGCTATTCATGGGATTGTAGGGGTCTTCGGATTGGCTTGAAGAAGGGGCTTAGATTGGTACGATATATCGCTTTTGATTTCATTCATTATCTGGAATTTTAACAGTCATTCCTTTATATTCTGTCAGTCCTTGATAAACTAGCCTAAGTTACGAATACGGGTAGTAGGTGCGTTTTAAAAAGGAGGCTTAGGCGATATGTAGGCTCCATAAGGAAAGACCGGACAGTACTGGTATAGAATATAAATAGAGAGCCAGCAGAGTTTATAGATGAATTTATAGTGGTATTGGCTCTTTCGTAGCGTTGGTAAAGTTAAGCATTCGATTGAGTGTTGTAGTTAAAAGTCGATTGTATTGATAATAGTTAACAATAGTTTCCGGAGTTCCAGATAGTCAATCAGGTTAAGAATGATGTGTTCGGGAAATAGAATCTCCTGGAATAGAGTCATAATTACGGTTATTAGAGGCTTTAAATCAAAGCAAGCTGATTATACGTACCAATGAAGATTGTCTTGCTGAGGGCTTCGTAATACGATTGGAAGACCCTATAGAATAGGGACAGGCGGCTATAAACATAGGCCACGAAAAGCAAGAAAGGTTCGTTAACAAGTCCCGCAGAGCAGCCCTCAGTTATAAGCTAGACAATTGAATCTATCTGAATCTGAAGAATGTGAAGACTACAAGACAATCGAACAATCTGGACTGGCTACATGCGAAATACCAAATGCCATGTGATCTAGAAAGTTACCTCTCACTCCTATTAGCTGAATGTACCTGGAAGGATCCACCAGGTCTTCTATGTCGACCTATTGTGCCCAGCGCCGACTGACTACCTATCATTACAGAGACCAGATTACATACAACCGGCACCTATTCTAATACATTGTGAGGAGTAGTGGCAGGTAGAATGCATGTTCGATGAGCAGTGAAAGACTGAGGAAGGCATGAGGCATAAGGTAGCTTTAATGAAATTGGTTGGCTACTCTGAGTCTACGTGGGAACTCATTGGTAACCTGCAAGCTACTGTTCAGTGGACAGTCTGGCGTAAGAATCATAAGAGGAACCGTAGATAGCCGTTAACTCCTTTCCCTGAGGAAGGGATGGTCTAGTCGTAATGGTATTGCAAGCAGTTAGGTTGCAAGCATGATCATATGATTCAATTTGTTCGTTATGGGCTGCTGGAGCAATTCATCTTCAAGATGTTGCATATATATCAAACTAATATTGCAATAAGGGATTAAGGACTAAGCACAATCTATATTAATGCATAGAACATACTATTAAATCCTTCTGGACATGATAATATGTACTCCCTTAAGTGGAAGCAGAACGGTCCAGGTTCTGAATTGCTTCAATTTTTGGAACAATTCCAAATCGTCGGCTGCCTTGGTCCCAAATCTGTCTTTCATTAGCATGCGTCCCATCATTTCAGCTTTGAGACGACTTACCGCGTAAACCGACTTCAGAAAATCGTCGCCAAACATATCAAAGGCCAATTTGCCCCTCGACTGAACTCCGCCATACCAGTTGTCATCGACCGTAGGTGCAAACGCCAAGTCCTCGGGCCGGATCACAAACTGCTTATCTCCCAATGGCTACCTTAAATTCGGGAAAGACTTCTACCTCTGTGCTCGTAGGGAAGACATAGCGCTGTTGGGTCGAGTCATAGGTCGCTCCAGGGATTGCACTGTACAGCGCCCCGCAGACCTCGTCAGAAAACAAGACTAGGGTGGTGCCGGTATCCGCAATGGCCTTGTTACCGGATAGCTTGATGATCCTGCCATTCATAGAGACACTGGCAGATGGGACACCAGTACCAACAATAATGTAAGATACACATCAACCACACATGGAGACACTCACTCGCATTCAAAATCGAATAGAAACAAGGAGTAAGTTTAAAAACGGTATATTGTAGGTATCCTTGAGATATTAACTTAGTGAAGTAACTTCCTTGCCTAGTGTCTACAAGAGGCGCCCATCTCATCCATCCGGTACCAACGCCAGCATTTCACAACCCGTTATGTCTGAAATCCTTAATACTTTGACGAAGCATTTCTTCGCCGAGTATTTGACGTAGGCTCGAGAATTAACCTAGATTCTGGAAATCTAACAATAATTTCTATCGAGTTGGTCGATACTATTCTGATCTGGTTCACCAGAGTAGAAGCACTTAATAAAGCACCCAGCGAAACTACTACTTTCAACGCAGCTGTCGGCCCCAGTCTTCTCTTGTGCCTCATTAGCCAACCCCTGGCAGTCACTTGTAGTGCAGGCACTCAGATCAAGATAATAGTGGCCATAAAGATCGTGAAGAGCGCAAAAACCACACTGAGCTGGCGCATCAGCTTTCCGCTTATTGTGGGTATGAGTGTATGAGGTCGTGCCGTTTGCGGGAGGATAACTATATTGGAGGAGGAGTGGGTGTGCGGCTAGAAGGGGGACTGTGCCGAGTATCACCGTAATACTAACAATGACACCCTTCATTGCGTCCAGTGTACGAAAGTAATACACTAGTGGAAGCACCGAAGAATGATCTCGTTTATTAGATATTACAGAGACTTATTGCTTTCGTGTCTGATAAGAAAATATCGTATGTTTAAAGTAAAGATAAGAGAATAAGCGAAGTTATTATTGATTATTCGCACGAGTGATTGTTTAGATGTGTTTGTTCTGATGGTGTCTTGTAGAGATGTTTTCTTTATTGAGATGATTTGAAGGCCTTATATATCTTCGGAAACAAGGACAAGAAGTATATATGGCAGCTTAGATACAAGAATAGAGAAAGCCAAGAAAGGCTGAGATAAAAACTAATAATTATAGAAAACTAAAAACCTTAAAAAGACTACGTACAAGCCACAAAAAAAAAAAAAAAAAAAAAGAAAACGGAATATACTAAGCGGTGTACTGGGGCTGATGTCTTTTTAGTTCTTTAAAGTAGGTACGAGGAACCGTAAATATAGAAGAGTTGTATACAGTATTTGCCATATAAAGAAGGAATGCGCTAATTACGCAGCCACCGGCAGTGCTCGGAAAAGGTGCAGCCCATTGCGCCCAGGGCTGGTCTAATAATATATTACTAAATAGGTTTAGATTCCAGATGCTGGGCTATATATAGTAGGAAAATCACTAGATAACTGCCTTCTACTAGCTAGACGAGTTTTAAGTCCTACGTATATATGTATGTATGTATATTCTATTATGGCCATGCACCCTACTGTACCAAGGACTGCTTATAATTTACTAAATTACACGCTCTTCGTCCAGGCGCTGACTACTTATCTCCATTATCTTCATAGAATTATATCTTTTTGTCCATGCATATTAGTTAGGATTTAAACGCCTCACTGCCTCGGCCCCTACTGCACAATCACCTGGGGAACTCTAGTATGTACTGGTCTGAGCGTAATGCTCCTCACGGTCACGTGCGGCAGATCTGGTAGCTATGCCCTATTAGAATTGTTAGTTACGCATTACTGCCCGACCGAAAGCTGGGCATCAAGGTCATTCCTTTCATAAATTCGCCAGGTTGCAGGTTTCTTCAAGTTACTCATTTCACTTGATGTGACCGCTCCAGCATCGACGCAATAGATGCAATGGCGACGTCGGAAACTCAGAGCACTTAGAGTCTTCCTAAGGCTCTGTGGACTTATACAAATGACATATATTATAGAATTCGACTCTGGTTTACGCTCTATGGCTTTGAATCCATATTCCTTCACTTCTTCGCTTGTTCCCAGGTATGGTGCATGACGCACAGGCTTGTTAAATGTCCGAAGCCAGATTTGTTTAAAGTTTTCCGGGAATCGGAAATTGCCGCCTGCAATGCTGCGGCGGTCGCAGTAAGTTGATTGCTAAATTGGACTCCAAACACAGATTGACTAATTCCGTCCATCTAGGGAACACTCATCGCTACTATCGCGATAACATCTATGTCGCTACCTTCTGTTGGCCAGGTTCATTGGATCGTTCGCGGTCTGTGGCTCTTGAGCTTGGCAACTGGTCTCATATCCGCTCTGTGTGCATGCAACCTGCAGGCTACAATCAGCAGAAACCTAAGCTGGGACCAGCTCCTAGGATGGTTAAACGATGAACGTGAGAAGACTGGGTGGAAGGACGTGAGAGGCCCCACGGGTAAGGACTCCAAGCGGGGAGGGGTTTTCTATGTTCCCGTCTCTTCTGCTGTCCTTCTTATCTCAGCCCCGAGGGCCCTTATTCACTATGCTTTAACGGCCTACCTCATTGGACTTGGCATATACCTCGGGATTATCTGGAGAGATCAGCTAAATACTGAAGTAGTTATGGGCGAGAACCGAAATGTTTTTATATGCTTCTTGATTTCTGCCTTGGTATTTTACCCTCTATATTGGCTATCCGGGCTTAGTAACAAATGCAAGAACCGTGCCTATAAGGCTGAATGGGAAAATCTCACGAGAGCTGCGAAAGTGGGTAAGCTAGTAGAGACAAGGCTGGATCGACAGAGCTGCAGCGAGGGGGAGGCCTAGGTATTATTTGCAGGCGATATAAGTCAAATCCTCTACTAAAATAGAGTTGCAGGGTCAACAAATTGCGCCCTCTAGACCTTACTCAAGAATAGACTAGAAATGCGCTGCATTTCCACTTCTGCACCAATCAGAATCTCCATATCCTTACCCCAGATCTCTCCTCTGGAAATGCGGCGCATTGGAAAAATTGGCGTTAACATGCTGCCATAGGTAGCAATTCGTTATTAGTTTGGTTTCCCGTTTTGACCTCCACCTGCTCCCTCTAATAGGGTTACAATCAGAAGAGAGAAGAGGAAACAACCTCTCTCATTTTGGTTCAGGAAATGATCGGAAAGTTCCTCGATTTGATTTGATTATATCCTACGCGGTTGTAGTCGTCTAAATGACCTTAATAAATGAATGAATGAATTTATTACGCCCAGGAGGATACGCCTCATAGGGCCCAAGACGTTGGATTTCGTTACATTCTTTTTCCCCACTTCTGGTCCCATAACTCACCCCCCTTCGACTTCGCCAACACTTACATCTTGCTATTCTTATCAGCCTCGCTTGTCCTTGCGCCAGGCCTGCTTGAAGGCATATTTTTTCAAGTGTTTAGCATCCCATCTCCAGTAGCTGAAGCCTGGTCTGTCTATCTGAGGCTATCTCATATTAGTTCTTGTTGTATTGTTTAGTTTGTCAGTATGTCTTGTATGCTTTTACGTCTGTGTAGTATTCAAACGACCCTTGCTTGCCACAAACTTGATCGCTACTCGCACCGCTCCCAAGTTCGGGCTCCACTTGTCTCCGTCTGCCTCCTAAAAAGACAGATAGATTGTCTATCATTGCTTGATTGACGTTTCGCATGTGTTCTCGTTGCTTGTCCTATCGTGGGCATCGGAAGAGGAAGTGGTCGACCGTTTCTTCTTCTTGACCGCAGTCGCACGTATCTGTCTCAGTTGCGCCTATCCTGTGTAGATACTTGTTGACCCCCGCCATCCCCGTTCGCCGCTGTACCAGAATGTCGGATTCGCGCCTCTTTAGAGAATCATACAGTATCCTCGTGTGATTGCCTGACAACGCTTTGTCGAGCTGCTTCGAGTAGCCACCTACCCCCTCAGGTAGTGTCATGCGCTGTCGGCGTTGTGCTAACAGTACTCTTAGCCGGGTCGATCGGGCCTGTATCAGCGGGTTTGTTACTTTGCATCCGCTGTCTGCAGCTTTTCGTGCTTCCACCTTCGCTTTTGCTCCAAGTGTGAAAGGCTCGTTTGTAGACGATACCCAGCGCATCTTAATAGTGCTACCACCCTTTTCGAGTCGATCGACACGTTGGTAGATCTCCCGGATGGTGTCTTGTCCTGACTGCTGTCGAGGTATCGCGATCGCTTGTAGTGCCGACCGATTTCGTGTTACAACAATCATATCTCGATTTCAGAGTCCATAAGGCATGCATCTGAGGACCACTGCCACCGCTTCCAGCTCGGCCGTGTATGCGTTCTGTTGGTCTCTTCGAGCAAGAGTGATGGAGTACTTTGCTATGATACTATCATGGTGCTCCTGCGCCGGCGGCGTTGCGCACGACGCCGCCCATACCTACTATGCCGTTTCTTGCTGATGCGCTTGTCGCAATGAGCACTTGTTTTGCGCTTGTGGCATCGGTCGCGTCGTCGTTTATGCCTGCGTCTGCCACTGCGTCCTTGCCTGAGTCATACTCCACCATCATTTTCCTATGCCACGGTGATAGTGCATACGGCTCGATCGTTTCCATCCGCTCTACTGCGCCATCGTGGGCGAGCGCTAGCTTCGTCAATGGCGACAGATACCTCTGTGTCTCCCTCACCCTGAGTGCCGCAAGCGGATGTGTCTCCGTTAGCGTTTGCATATTGACGTAGAGCTGTATACCGGCCTGCGAGTGGGTTCACCGATGGGTAGAATGTCAGCTTCAGCTTCTGCCAAAGCCATCGACACTGTCTTGAAGGTTCCTGTGATGGCTTGCGCTCCTATCTTCTGTGCTTCGTTCCGCCACCTGGTCTCCATCCACCCGCGTCTGTGGGGCTACACGTTCGAAGCATAGCCCATTGTTGGGGCCACCGTTGCTAAAAACAACTGTCTCGCTATCCGGGGCGTCAACATCTTCAGCCTTCGTAGGCACATGGCCGCTCGGAGGCCTCGTGTAGCTGCTTCCTTCATGTGTTCCTCATACCGCAACTCCGAATCCATCACCAGTCCCTGGATCTTGCCACTTTTCTTCGGAATGATTGTTTGGCCTTTGATCGTATACGGGCTTTCATCAGTGCGTTCGGGACGGCGCGTGAAGTGGATGATGACAGTCTTATCCTCCTCAAACGTCGCCCCGCTTCGTCTCTCCCACTCCGGTGCTCTGTCGATGACGGCCTGAATGCCTGCTCGGTTTGCTTCTGCTGTCGGGGCCGTCACCCAGGCCGAGTAATCGTCGATGAACACGATTGACCCGCTTTTTAAGTCGATTTTATGCTGAATGAGATCTGCATTAAAGAACAGGAACAGCAACGGTGACAAAGGCGATCCTGGTGGGAGTCCAACCTGGCAAAGGATGTGCTGAGCTAAGGCAATCTATCTACGCACTAATTACAAAATGCTATTGGCTTTGGCAGGATTGGCCATTCGCGACGCGAAATTAGACTTCCCTATCGAAATGCAGTTTCTGCAAAAGCGTCAACAGATCACACTATCCAGCATATTATTGGTACAGACGGCGCATCGTATAGAGCCTGTTGCCCGTCAGCGGGAGGACCAGGCGCAGCTGGGAACAGCAGCTGCAAGACAAGCCTGTTGTCAGAGACGCTGTGGTGGGCCTGTGGGCGCGGCAGCTCGGGACTGCCCTCGAGTGGTTACGGCAATATAAAGGGTGTGTCAGCGCCCTTCATCTAGCCGAGCCTTGAAATAGTAAGAAGATCAGACAAAAGAAAACAGTATGAAGGGGAAGGAAAGGAGGAGAGGAGGAGAGGTGCGAGTGCGTCCTGAGTTGGTCTCGTCTAGTGGCGGGGGCAGATCTTGTCGAAGAAGGCGCTTATCTTGGACAGCTCGACGAACCTGTCGAAGTCTTTTCCTATTGCTAGGTTGACGGCTGCATTCAGTGAGGGGCGAGCCTAATCCCATGAGGCGGCAGCACCTTTCGGCGATAGAAGATATGATCCGGTGCTTTGCGTCGGTTGCATGAACAGACCAGGCGTGCATCGCCATGGTCGAATCCCTCGTGATATGCGGCGAAATCACCGTGGAGGGATCTCGCTGCCAGCAGTTGGTGCAAGGCTGTTCGCCAAAACTCTCACTCCTGCGGAGAGCCTCTGGTCGCCTATACTGCTCAGGATCGGCGGCGGACGATCAGGTCTCGAATGCTTCTTTCGGCTTTTGTCTTACGATCCTTCACAAGTATGCTAGCGTTAGCTGAGCCCCTTCGGGTTCGGGGAGCGATGATGCTGCTTTGGCCAGTTTATCGGCCTCTTCGTTGCCAGGGATGTCGTTATGTCCTGGCACCCAGCCTACCTGTCTGGCTCCATGCGATGCTGTTAAAGCCTGAAACTCAAGGAAGACGTCTTGAGACGAGACAGACGGTGTGCCTCGAAGGCATGTAGCGGCCGCGAGGTTGTCTAGGCAGTTTATGATGTTTCACGATACTGATTCTTGTAGGTTTAGGGCGGCCTTTAGGCCTTCTAACGCCCCTCTAGCTTCGGCATCGAAGACCTCAACTGGTCCGAGGCGACCTAATCCGTCGAAGACGTGTTCTAAAGCTGCTTTCTATCTGTATTTGATATCTTCGTTTGATGAGATCGTGGTAAGTGGGGCTGACTGGGTGGTAGCGTTCGACTCGCAAGAGGATGGCTCGTCAAGCGACTTGAGTCGTGCGGAGAACCTGAGTCGCCGCGCTTCGAGGACCTGGGTAACTGGCAGTATCCCACTTTCCCGGTGGAGGGTGGCGGTGGGTGTCGTCTTCCAGAAGGGCAGTGTAGCTCTCATGGACTGGTCCAAGGCCTTGTTCATTCTCTGTATGAGATGCTGGTTGCTCCATGGCGGGTCTCTGGTAGGCTGGCTTCATCGTGGCCTTGTCATGCCCTGGTACCACGCCTCGGAACCGTAGAGCAGGAATGGCTCGACTGACACCTTGACGGCGTTTTGGACAGCACCCGGCAGCGGACCGTGTTTCGTATTGGTTAGTCCTCGCAGGTGGTAGGCCACTGCCTTCGCTTTCGCCGCCCACTTCTCTACATGGATTCTGAACGATAGCCTGCTATCAAGCCAGCGCAGAGCCGACTCGGGATGTTTCTCGACGCCACCGTGACATACCGGCGGGGTGGTCCTCAGTTTACTGCGAGAGAAGTGCATGACATCGGTCTTCTTCGTGTCGAAGGAGACGCCGTTTGTCGCGCCCCAACGCACCATCTCCTTGATGGACTCAGATGCCGCAGCGGTCGTCTCGTCTACCGTATCGCCTATAGATAAGATAGATGTATCATCTGCATAGCCGAAGCGGCCTTGGGGGTTACCCAGTCGGTAGATGGGTTCCGCTGACACAGACCAGCAAAGGGCTATTCCTCGACGTAAAGTACAGGTCCCATACATTTTGCAGGCCATCTAGAGTCATGGGCTCTTTGAATGATCTCTCGTATTTTCAACAGTACTGAAGACAGATTGGTTGGTGGTTGTGTGTTCGAGTCGAATGTGCCCGCCTTCTTCTTTGTGTTTGGGTTCTGAAGTCTCGAAAGCTTTGATTTGACTTAATGTCGAGGCTGCTTTGCACAGAGAGTAGGTAGTCTCACCTGAATAGGTACACTACGAGTCACCAACATGCGCTGGGGGCTATGGCGCTGTCCGCATTATCGCGCGGTAGCTTTGCCGGATGAGGGACCTCCCCATGTAGGCTATGTTCTTCACTTATACCTTTTTGCTCTGGAAGAAGAGAACTGGTAAGATCGACTATAGGGAGCTGGCTAGGCGTTTACTTGCGGGACGATAGTGGACTCGGATCGATGTCCTCGGGTGGTATTGGCATTGTGGTTGAGTAACTGAGTGGGTTTACCCCTGAATAAATTTCTTTTCTCCTTAATATAGTATTTGTTCGCTCCGGTCGGCCTTTCCATTTATACATGCAACTTATATCAATTGGTGGACACCCTGAAGATAAGATTGATTTATGCATTTGGATCTGCAACTTCAGCATACGTAGGTTCGGGAGACATCTCGCCTCGCCGGGTTGAACGGGTTGCACGACCCAAGCTCATACC